GGGGGGGAGGAGACCTCACAGGGAGAGGTGCATAAACAAACAAACAAACACAAAAACAAAAAAAAGTTTGCAAGTACACATACCGAACAACAAGGGTTCCAACCAGACATGTAATAGAATTTATGACAAGAGTTTGAGTTTGGGAAACATCGGTGTCATATAACGATCTTTTAGTACCACGGTACTGGCAAAAAAGCAGAACAGCTACGCAGAAAAAAAGAGGCACATGTACGTTCAAATAGTAGGACCTTCAAGTGGAATCCCAGCACCATTCGCACTGTAAGACTCACAGCTTTTGACCATCTTACTGAAGTTTGCGACTAGGCTCAGTGCAAGTCATATTTTTGCTTTTCAATTTTAATTTTGAAGCAGACATCAGTCAAAAAAGAGACCCCAAAGACGATTTGAACACCGTTCTCATTCGTACATTAGATTTCCGAGGGATAGGTCAAGTTAATAATAATAATAACCTACTGTGTCACAGCAGCCAGCAAAGCTGTCATACACAAGTAAAAACGTGTAAATATAAGTTCTTTTTTTTTTAAAACCCATTTACACTAATTATGCTGACTTGTTTCTTACAACACTTCGTTGGAAATCATTGTCTGGTTTTTACAGTACAACTCCATATATATGGTGGCTTTTAAGCACAAGGGGGGGGGGGCTATCCCAAAAAATGCTGTTTTGAGAAAAATCGAAAGTAAAATTTTTGAACCCTTGTTCAGTTTCTTTAAAAGACAAGGGGAGTTTTCTCTATAACTAAACAAATATACACGCCAGTGAAACCAAACTTCTCCTACAGGTAGGACAAAGCTCACTTTATGTGTAGGTCAACATTTCTGGAAACATCCGAAATCTGAGTTAGCCCGCTTGTCCTTAAAATATAATATAATATATATCTTGCCACCAAAATGCCAAGTACAGCAAATAAGTCTTGGTAACAGCGACAAGCATTGGAAAGGCGCAAACCACTTCAAGGAAGGGCGCCCACCAACTACTCACACCGAATTCCAAGACACCACCAATGAAACAGAGATAACATGTAAAGTGTAAAGTGTCGGGGGCAGGGCGCGCCCAGTTGGATTAGGTGGGAGGTGGGAAATAAAAAAAAGTTGTTTTTTGTTTTTTTGTTGGGTTTTTTTGTTTGTTTGTTTATTTCCTTTAATTGTTTTTCGGGGG